AAATTTAGCGTAATGTGTATAACCCTCCATAATGTAATGAAACATGTGTTCAAAATGTGAGGAATGTATACAGCACATCAAAATGAAAAAAAAATATATATACAAAAGTACATAAAATATACCAAAAAATGCCTAACAAAATGCATTGAATTGTGCAAAATGTATACAAAATAAAGAAAAAATGTGCCACAAGGAGAAATGGACTAAGTTTCGCTAAAACATACACACTTATGTGAACCCCATTGCATGATGTACCCTGAAAGATTTGATTGATACGAACCCAAGAAAACTGAAATTAGTGTATTGTGTCTGATAGGGATGTTAAGTTCCTTAGACACTTTTCGAGAGTTTTTTAGGGTAAGTTGGGAAATAATCTTTTATTTTCTACATGTCACCCACAGATAGAGGGATAAACTGAGGTAGTTAGTAGAACTAACTCAACTTTTGCGCACTATAATCAATAAGAATTTGAAAAGTTGGGAAGATTGTTTACAATTTTTATAGTTTGCAGATAATTTCATTTACAACTTCTTATTCTCCATTTAACATTGTGTATTGTTTTAACCTACTAACTCCATTGGATTTAAGTCAAACACAAGTTGATGAAAAAAGTAGTTTAGATTGGAAGAATAAGGCTAAATTGGTAAGGTCAATCCATGAGAAGATTCAACTTCATAATCTAAAAGCATTTTCTTGTTCAATACCCTAATGAAATTTAGCATTTTGTTTTTCACAATCTCAGAGAGTGGTGTGGCAAGTGTCATAAAATCTTTAAATAAATCCATATAAAAACTAGCTAAAAATGGAAACCTATTATCTCAGCTTTTAGGTGTCGGCCACTTCTTGATATCTTTTAATTTCTATTCATCTACTTCAAAACATGTTTTATTAACTACCTAACAAATAGAAAACTTCTTTTTCATGCAAAATGTCCATTTTTTAATATTAGCATAGAGTTGTTCTTGTCTCAAAACAACAAGCACACATTCAAATGCTCAATATGATCATCAAAACTTTTGCTGTGTTCTAGAATAAAAAATAAATAAAAATACCTACTACATATTTGCCAATAATTGCACATAAAAAATGTCATTAACCTCATGAAAGTATTAGGCACATTAGTAAATTCAAATTGAATAACTAACCACTCATAAAATTCATATTTAGTCTTAAAATCAACTTTTCACTCATCTTCTTTCATTTTAATTTGGAGATAGCCACTTTTAATGTTTATCTCACTAAAAATACATGATCCAAGAAATTCATCAAACATATCATCTAAGCTCCAGATGTGGGATAACAATATAATACATACATATTGTTGACTGTGCCACAATCAGTGCACATTCTCCAGGTTTCATCCTTTTAGGCACAAGTGGCACTGACACTGCACACAGACTCATGATCTCCCTCAAGTACCTTTTGCCCATCAACTCTTTGATTTTCCTTTAAAGCACCTTTATATCATCGGGATTACTTCTATAGGCTGTTCGATTTGAAATAATAGCTCTAGAAAAAAATCAATTTGATGTCCAAGGTGAATGGGTGGCAACCCATTAGGCATTTTCTTAGGGAATACGTCCTCAAATTCCTGAAATGAAGAAGCAGCAAACTTGGGAGGGGTTGGTTAGTTTTTTCAAGATTAAGGATCAATCATTGTAGACCAGCAATATTTTGTTTTCCATGAAAGCCCTTTTAATTTCACCCTCGTTTGTGAAAAGGTTCACTTTCATTTTTCCTATTCTACATGTAGGCTTTCTATCTTTTTTCTCTTCTGGCTCTACTATTTTTTCATTATTTTCACCCAACTCTTTATTTTCTCTCTTAATCTCTTTTTATTTTTAAGTTTTAGTTTCACTCTCATTTTTCCTCTCTTTCTTTTTCTTGTCTTCCTACCTTTTAACTTCAATTAGTACTCATAGACCGGTTTTGGTACTAAAGAAATAAGAGTATTTGATTTTCCATCCTTGATAAAGCTATACCTATTTTTAAAAGTCAACCTTCCTATCATACTACTATGACTTTCCAAAAAGATATACACGGCATGCATTAGAACTACATCACACGTCACCTCATCACTCTACCTCCCAAATAGGAAATTCATCGAGACTTGCTTGTTAACCTCAATCTCTCCACATCCATTTAACAAACTACAACTTATATTGACATGAACGTGGCAACAGGAACTCTAGAACACACTGATGAATGCAACGTGTGACACCTCATACCTCAAAATTAGTTATATTAAAATTTAGGGTCTTATCAAGTAAATGGTATAGTCCAGGGACCTAATTGATAAATGTCAAATATTTGGGGATTAAAGTACAAATATATGAATCTCAAAGTGATAAAATCTCTAAGATATTGTGATAAGTTTAAATAAATAAATTCGATTAGATATTATGATTATTTTTAAATATTCAACATTATCATAGATTCTATTAGATATTACGATTATTTTTAAGTATTCAACATTATCCAAATTTTAGATATTATGGTTATTTTTAAATATTCAATATTATCACAAATTCTATTAGATATTATGATTATTTTTAATTATTCAAATTATGTTGGACATTATGATTATTCACATTATCACAAATTTTGTGGGATATTAAGATTATGTTTAAGTATTTAAATTTATTTAAATAAATTACGAGATTTATCCTATATGCATCATCAGCATACTGTATGTGCATGATTTTCAAGAAATTTACACGTCACTTTTTCTCTTCTCTCTCACAACCCATCTTACACACAAGCATATTTCACATTACAAAAATCTTTAGTACTCATGCTGTTCAAGAAAACTTTGGAGTGGAAACCAATCAAGCCAATTTATTCGATTACCTTTATTTTTCCACACAACGGTAAGTATATACGTGTTGTTATGCTGCATTTTTGGAAATATGTTTATGGGTCCATATGTATGTTCTAACTTTTGGATCAGAGTTCTAGTAGCGTTACGCATGTATAACTCATACCACCTAAGTTTGGTATAGTTTTGTGTCTCCTTTATGCAAATTCTATGATTCCAAAGGTTATATGATTATAACTTATGAACACGTATATACTTATTGAGATTTTCTCACCTTTATGTTTTTCCCTTTTTCAAGTAACTAAGTATTGGAAAGATTGAAGTTTGGACTTGGTCGTGGTGGTGGAAATAAATTTTGAAGTTTGTTGCATTTTCCTTTTGAATTGATTATTTTAAGTAGCATGAACAAGTACTTTTTTTTTTAACTAATAGTAAGATAAAGATTTATTGGTTACAAGTTTAAAAAGTTCACCACGGGCAACGACAATCGTCCAAACTTCAATCTCCCAATCAGGTAGAAAAATATGTGTAATTTATTTACATTAAATGGCTTGCTAAATTGTTAAGAATTTATGTGATTATTATGAATGAATAAGTATATTCTTTACCATGTAAAATATAGATTATATTTTATTTTTTTTCAACGGTAGCAATATAGCAAAACATGGATAAAAAAAAGTGTGATTTTATGAATATATGTTTATTGTTAATATTGCAAGTTACAAAATTGAAAATTTTATGATATTATATTATTTTAGACTAATGATTTTGTTAGAAAAGTTATCAACCCATGAGAATAGTCAACCTTAGAATATCTCTTAAATAAATAATAGTCTAATTAAAAAAAATATATAATAATAATATTAATAAAATAAAGAAATTAAAAGAAGGGCCTTTAATTACTCCCATCCATTTTATTGTTTAAGTTTTCTTGGTTTGGGTGTTTGTGAAAACTGGAGGGCTTTGTCAAAAGTACCTAAATTGTCCAAAGCAAGCTTGGGATTTAAGCAGTTCGTTGTGACCCCCTCCTTACCCGGAAAGCCACTCAGTTAAACGATATTCAAATCAATAGAACGAAAAATAATATTACAACTCCATCTTTATAAAACTTATTTTCTGAAACTCTTAAGAACGTTCCATTTTAAAAATCATATATTTCAAGAAATTCCTACCTTACAAAACTTCTATTGTTAGAAAACCCATCAAAAATATATATATCCATTTTTAGAAATTTTCATTTTAGGAAAACTTCAAACTTCTAAATTGAGTAAGTTTATTCTCTTGAAAATCCTGGATATGAATAATGATATGTAAGCCTTTCATAGATGGCTAGAGGTCCAGCCCAAACAAGAAGAGAGATGATTATGAAATGGAATCGATCAAGGTTCTTGCACCTCCTTAGGTTTTATACAAGGAACCCAAGCCACAAACGTAGAGCATTCGGATGCTATTGAGGCCATTTATTGAGAGACTTGACTAAATGGACACGAGTTTAACAGAGATTGGGCACTTTTTCCTCTACTTAGAACCCTTATCGGATATTGGAAAGACTTCGCGGAACAACTTGATGAAATGTATGACCGACAAATATCTGTCAAACACCTTATTAAGAGCCTTAGAAAAAAATGGAGGATCAATGGCGAGGATTATAGGGTTATTGAGAGGCTTGAAGGGTATGAACCAGATCATTTTCGACGTCAGCCTCGTATCATGCCCAATGGGAATGGTCACGAGGAAATACCAGAGGTAGACAATGAGGGCAACATAATAGAGTATGTGCCCAGAGACTCTAGGGAGGAAGAAAACTCTTCGGAGGACCCAAAACCAAGCCATGATGAGAGCACTGGGAAAAACTACTAGATTATAGCTTGCAATTTTCTATGTTTGCCTGGACGCTTGGTATACCTTGCAATCGTTTTTCCTACTAGATTTTTCTTTTTCTTGGATGTGGGGTATGTCTACATACCTTTATGAAATTATGAAAATTCTATGAATAAAATACACTAGTTTTTCCTTCCAGCCTATTACTTATTGCAATATTATTTGTTAAGGCTATGGCATCCTGAGGTAGGAGACCAAACAATGACGAACAGTCCCAACTAGCTAGTAACCCCAACCTAATGGCGTTGACCCATAGTTTGCCCAACAATTTCTCACTATGATGCGTACGTTCGTCCAAGAGATGACGACACCGCAACAAGCACTACCACCACCACTAGTGCAGCCACCTCAATCGCAAGCACCAATGGTGGCAGAGGACACCAGGAATACTGCTACTGTTGTGGTAGAACTTTTTAGGAAACAACCACTCCCAACCTTTGAGGGTGGTATAGATCCATTGGAAGTAGAGGATTGGTTGGTCAGAATAGAAAGAATTTTTGATCTCACTAACTACCCCGACTTTAAGAAAGTTATTTGTGCAACATTTATGCTTAAGAAAGGTACCATGCGTTGGTGGGACTCAACCTCAAGGTCGAGGGCCTGTGGACACATCTTGACGTGGAATGAATTTAAGGAACAATTCCTAAGAAAGTACTACCCCACAAGTATCCGCAATCAGAAGGAGAGGGAATTTCTCAATTTAGTTCAAGGGTCAATGTCTTTAATTGAGTATGAGTGAAAATTTGAAGAGTTATCCCATTATGCCTCTAACCAAGTGAACACTAACGAAAAAAAGGCAAGACATTTTTAAGAAGGGTTGAGAGATGGTCTAAGCCAGACATTGGTAGTACTTCAACTAGAAACCTACCATGAAGTGTTAGCAAGATCACAATTAGCAGATTTCAAGCATCACACTAGTGGAGAGAACAAGCAGAATGTATAGCCAGAAAAGCGGAAATGGGAGGACTATAAGGGAAAAGGAAAACTGAATTTTATAAAGTATAAAGGAGACCCAAGTACAAACAATTATCAATTGTATCCAATTTGCGGCAAGTGTCAAAAGCGTCATGCTGGAGTGTGTCTCATGGGTATTGGTGTATGCTTCAACTGTGGTGAAACAGGCCATATGGCAAAAAATATGCCCTAAGGGACAGAAGTAGAAACAACGACAACAACAGAAGCCTAGGAATCCCCCTAGAGGCCAAGCTCTATGCACTCACAGAGCAGGAACAAGGGTAGGACCACAATGTCTCCAGCTCTACGCATTCTTTTATATCTCATAAGTTTGTGAGCAAACTTAATGCACCTAGTGAATATGTAAGTACTCCCTTAGAAGTTGCTATGCCCTCAGGAGAAGTGTTAGGTGCAGATCATATAGTGAAGATAGCTAAGGTAAAGATTGATGGTAAATCCTTAGAGACGAACTTTTATGTCTTGAACATGCAAGAGTTCGATGTGATTTTGGGAATGGACCAGCTTTCTGAGAATCACGCAACTATTTTGTTTTTTTGAAAGGAAAGTCATTGTTAAGCAACCTGGAGATATAGAACTTCGTCTTTCAGTAACCAAGACAAAATCCCTACACCGTATTATTTCAGCATTGAAGGCTAGAAAACTCTTGAAGTCAGAAGGTTGTAGGGGATTCTTGATGTCAATTGTAGCTAAGGAAGATGAAGAGCTAAAGGTAAGTGATGTTAAGGTGGTACAGGAGTTTCTTGATGTCTTTCCTGATGATTTAAATAAAATGTTGCCAAAACGTGAATTGGAGTTCACGATTGATGTAGTTCCTGGCTTCGCGCCCAATTCTAGGGCTCCTTATAGGATGGCACCAAAGGAATTATAGGAACTGAAAGCCCAATTAGAGGAGTTATTGGGAAAAGGATTCATTCGACCCAGTGTGTCACCGGAGGGAGCGCTAGTGTTATGTTAAGAAAAATGATGGAACAATGAGGTTGTTATTGATTACCAAGAACTGAATAGAATTACTATCCAAAATAAGTATCCACTACCTAAAATTGAAGATTTTTTTGACCAACTACGAGGGGCGAAAGTATTTTCAAAGATCGATTTGAGGTCAAGATATCACCAGTTGAGGGTCAAACCCAGTGATGTCTCAAAGACTGCCTTTAGAACTCGATATGGTCGCTATGAGTTTCTAATTATGCCATTTGGCTTAACAAATGCTCCTGGAGTTTTCATGGACTTGATGAATCAAGTTTCCCATGAATACTTGAACACTGCCATCGTTTTCATTGATGACATTTTGGTCTAATCTCAAAGTGAAGAAGAACATGAAACACATCTAAGAATTGTGTTAGGGATCTTGAGAAAGGAAAGGCGTTTTGCAAAATTCAAGAAGTGTGAATTTTGGTTGAAACGGGTAGTATTTCTTGGACATGTGATCACATCACAAGGAACAGAGGTAGACCCCAGTAAAATAGATATAATATTGAACTAGTCTAGGCCAACCAATGTAGAAGAGATTCGCAGCTTTTTGGGTTTAGCATGATACTACAAGAGGTTTATTGAGGGATTTTCCAAAATATCCGGACCATTAACACAGTTGACTCGTAAGAGTATAAAGTTCGAATGGACGGAAAAATGTGAACATAGTTTTGAAGAGTTGAAAAGAAGATTAGTCAATGCACCAGTGTTAACCATACCTGAAGGATCAGAAGGTTTCGTTATCTACAGTGATGCATTTAAGCAGGGTATTGGATGTGTTTTGATGCAACAAGGTAAGGTAGTTGTTTATGCATCGAGGCAGTTGAAACCTCATGAGCAGAATTATTCTACACATGACCTAGAACTAGCTGCGGTAGTTTAGGGAGGAAAGTATGACATCTATATTGAACACAAGAGCCTTAAGTACATCTTCACTCAAAAAGAGTTGAACATGAGGCAGAGGAGATGGCTTGAACTAGTAAAGGATTACGATTGTGAAATTCATTACCACCCGGGCAAGGCAAATATAGTAGCCGACGCCTTGAGTAGAAAGACAATGGGACAAGTGGCGATGTTAACAGTACAAAGGCCTATATGGAAAGCATTTGAGAAATTAAGTCTTGAAGTGGTAGCTACAGCTTCCCCCGATTCTATTTCTCGAATGGCAGCATTGCAGTTCGACCGACTCTCCGTGATCGAATTAAGAATCATTGAAAGGGTGATCAATTCTTGGACTTTATCAAAGCTGAGATTGACACAGAGAGAGGAAAGATTTCACCATAGCCAAGGATAAAGCATTATATTATCAAGGACGCCTGTGTGTACCAGATTTCAAATAATTGAAGACTGAAATTTTAGACGAAGCCCACTCTACTCCATATTCGGTACGTCCATGAAGTACAAAGATGTATCGTGACCTGAAATTGGTGTTTTTGGTGGAAAAATATGAAAGAAGTTATAGCTAAATATGTGGAGAAATGCCTGATATGTCAGTAGGTGAAAGTCGAACATCAGCGACCATCAGGGTTGCTGCAGCTATTGGAGGTTCTGGAATGGAAATGGGAACATGTGATGATGGACTTTGTTGTAGGATTTCCAAAGTCAGTGAGAGGACATGAGGTTATTTGGGTAATTGTTGACCGATTAACCAAGTCAGCTCATTTCTTACCTGTTCGCATAACATTTTCTATGGATCAATTTGCACAATTATATGTTAAGGAAATAGTGAGGCTAAATGGTGTTAAAGATCCAAGGTTCACATCGAATTTTTGGAAAAGTTTACATCGAGCTATGGAAACTAAGCTAAAATTTAGTACGGCTTTCATCCCCAACCAGATGGCTAGTCTGAGTGAACAATTCAAACGCTTGAGGATATGCTTCGAACATGTATCCTCAAGTTTGTGGGACATTGGGAGAAACATTTACCTTTGATTGAGTTCGCATACAACAACAGTTATCACAACTCTATTGGCATGGCACCATATGAGGCATTGAATGGGAGGAAGTGTAGATCGCCAATTCATTAGGATGAGGTCGAAGAGCGAAAAAATTTGGGGCCAGAGATCATTGAACAGGCAGTGCGAGCTATTGAGATAATTTGAGCTATCATGAAAATGGCTCAGGATACATAGAAGAATTATGCATATAAAGGAAGAAAAGATCTAGAATTTATAATAGGTGACAAGGTATTCCGAAAGGTTGTACCAATGAAAGGAGTCTTACGCTTTGGTAAGAAGGGTAAGCTCAGACCAAGGTACATTGGTCCTTTCGAAATTTTAAAGCGAATTGGAGATGTTGCATACCAATTAGCTTTGCCACCAGAGCTTTCATACACGACGTCTTTCATGTATTAATGCTCAGAAAATATGTTCATGACCACATTCATGTGATTAGACACAAACCATTAGATATTTAGCCAAATCTGAGTTACGAAGAAGCATCAATATGCGTCATAGCTCAGAAAGTACAGAAGCTTCGCAGTAAAGAAATACTACTAGTTAAATTATTATGGCAAGACCATTCAGTAGAAGAAGTCACTTGGGAACATGAAGGGGAAATACGATCCAAGTATCCCTAACTTTTTGTTGACAACAGCTGAGGTAAGATTTGAGGATGAAATTTATTTCAAGGAGGCTAGATTGTGACACCTTTTACCTCAAAATTAGTTGTTATATTAAAATTTAGGGCCTTATCAAGTAGACGGTATAATATAGGGACCTAATTGATTAATGTCTAATATTTTAGGGATTAAAGCACAAATATTTGAATCTCAAAGTGATAGAATCTCTAAGATATTGTGATAAGTTTAAATAAATAATTTCGATAGATATTATGAATATTTTTAAATATTCAACATTATCACATATTCTGTTTGATATTACGAGTATTTTTAAGTATTCAACATTATCCAAATTTTAGATATTATGGTTATTTTTAAATATCCAATATTATCACAAATTCTATTAGATATTATGATTATTCAACATTATCACAAATTTTGTTGGATATTAAGACTATCTTTGAATATTTAAATTTATTTAAATAAATTATGAGATTTATCCTATGCATTATCAGCATACTATATAAATAGGTGCATTATTTTCAAGAAATTCACACCTCACTTTTTCTCTTCTCTCTCACAATCCATCTTACATACAAGCATATTTCACATTACAAAAATCTTTACTACTCACGCTGTTCAAGAAAACTTTGGAGTGGACACCAAGCAAGCCAATTTTTTTGATTGCCTTTATTTTCCCACACAACAGTAAGTATATATGCGCGTTGTTATGCTGCACTTTTGGAATTATGTTTATGGGTCCATATGTATGATCTAAGTTTTGGACCGAAGTTCTAGTAGCGCTACACACGTAAAACTCATACACCTAAGTTCGGTATAGTTTCATGTCTCCTTTATGCAAGTTCTATAATTCCAAAGATTATATGATTATAAACTTATAAACATGTATATGTTTATTGAGATTTTCTCATCCTTATGTTTTTCCCCCATTCAGGTAACTAAGCATTGGGAAGATTGAAGTTTGGACTTGGTTGTGGTGGTGGTGGAAATAAATTTTGAAGTTTTATGCATTTTCCTTTTGAATTGATTATTTTAAGTCGCATGAATAAGTACTTTTTTGAAAAATTCTATTTGTACATAATTATTGCACATAATGGTGTCCATAATGTTATGTGGCAATCATCCAATTGTTGTGCAAATGTGAGATTTGAATTAAAGATTGGATCCAGTGTCACGTGTAAAGAACACCATTACATAGACAATTATGTACATGTAGCACTTCCCTACTTTTTTTTGTTGACTTTCTCAATTTATGAAATGAATCTTAAATAAGTTCTCTTTTATGTATTATCTTTTATGACCCTCGGGCTTTAGGACTCGGGTGTCACAAAACGCCTCAACAAAGCTAAAACCAGAGTTTGAAACTTGAACCATGATTTATTGAATCAAATAACCAAAGTCATTGATGAACCTTGACCCTTTAATTCTCTTAAAATAATGGTTTTTTAACAATGGAAGAACGACACCATATATAGAGGCTATAACAAAGAAATCCTAAATAACTCATAAAACATCAAGAAAACATCAAACAAATTAAGTTCTGAATGAAAAAGAAAAAATAAAATGTCTTCAGATTTTTGTACTATGCACATGGAATGTGTATTCTCTATTGTGCGTGTCATTTGATTAATTTGGCTACGGGTTGAAATTTGGCCTCCATGAGTGTGCTGTCATTTTACCCACACAGATATATTGCTTTTCGGCTACACTCCTTATAACTTAGCTTGGATTAAGTACACTAAAGTTGGTTCTCCTATCATGCTTATCTTGAAACTTTGTGTATTGCTCTTTGTACTTGAATTCTAGGCCTACATAGCTTGGACAAGTCCTTGCATGGCTTCCTTGATCCTCTTTCCTTTTGATCTTGTCATTGGTCCATCTTCAACATGCAATGAATCCTTGCTAGCTTGCCTTTCATGCTTCTCATCATATATTGTCTAAGATGTATTAGCACAGAAAAGCCCAATTTCTCAACAAGGGTGATACAATCTACATTGGTACAACTCCTCCTTACTCTTTGAAACAGCCACATCACTCCAATTATTATTACCCAACTTCGGTTTTCAAGTAGGATTAGAACCTGAAGAGGCTTCTCTTTTATCTTTTTTATTTCATCCCATCTTCATAACCATATGCACCATGTCCTACAACTCCATGTAATGTTGTAACTTAACTACATTGGCTATATATCTATTTAATCCATTCAAAAACTGGCCACTATGGCGTTCTTGTCCTCCTCGATATTAGCCCTAACTATTGCTCCTTGAACTTCCTTATAATATAATCCTATACACTCATTGATCCTTGAGTAGGTAAAAATCTCTTCCTCACGAGAGCTTTCAATTCACTCCATGTTTCTATAGAACTCATGTTTCATTTTTCGACCAATTACCATTTGATTGCATAATCAGTAAATTCTATCACTACTAGCTTCACTTTCTTCTCTTTAGAATAGTTATGTCAAGCAAAGATCAATTCTATTCTTCTTCAAATATAATAAACTTCAGGATCATGTCTACCTTAGAATTAAAGGAATTTTAATCTTAGTACTACCCAAATTTTGATCAAATCTATCTCTGTATAGAGCACCAAAGTCTCTAGGGTCTCCTCAAGGCTCCCTTTCCTATCTTTTCTAGTTCTCATCCCACCTTTTCATGTATCAAGGTTTGGTCATCCTTTCTACTACATTCAAACCATCAAATTCAGTCTTGTCTTGCCTCCTAACACTAGGAACTATTTTCAATTGTCCCCTTCAAAAATTTGCAATCACCGTATTCTGCCTATCCATTCTATTCCAAACACCATATTCATCCAATCAAATTATCGTTGTATTCTTTCAACATGAAAAATTGGTTGTTCTCTTCTTTAGAGGTACATTCTTCTTTGTTAGACAACTTAAGAACTAAGAAAGTAATCATCACGTTTTACACTCAAGTGTTTCACTCAATATTGACTTTTTCTTTGTATGCTCACCACTCTTGCCTTTTTCCTCTTTATGCTTTCTTTGCAGTTTTCTAATTTATTTTGATTTGTCTTTAGAATTAGAGTTTTGTTTTGATTAAGAGTTTATTTTATGCCTATAAAACTACACATTCATAGTACATTAAAGACACTGGTTGTTGTGAATTTATCATAATGTGAAAATTTTCACTTTCTATCTTGTTCTTAATTGAGCATAACTTGTCAAATATTTTTCGAAATTAGTGGCATTCAAAGTATTTGAACTTATCAAAGATTCTAGCTCTTTATTGCATTCAAAACTTAATAACAAGGTTCATAACTTTTTGTGATTAAGAGGTCAAGCTCTAAATAAATTTGATTCCTTGATTCAACCTTCAAATCGGAATTTTTGCTTTCTCAGGGTTGTGATTCAATCTTGTGTTTTATCCCTAAATCAGATTTTTTTTTCACTTTTTTTTTTGAAATAAAAAACGAGATTAAAAAAAAAAGAAGTTACATTGCACGTTCTGGAATGATATGGATCAATTAGAAAAGAAGATTCTAAACCAATTAAAAAATGGAAATAATAAGAAATATGTGAGGAAACACACAAGATGTATAAAAATATGTATAACTTTTAGCTTGGTCATCTTGTCAAATTTGAGGGTCAAATTCGTTTATTTAGGAGTCCATTTTCGAATTTTTACGTTTCGTATTAGTATAAATGTATTTTCGTTATTTGTATTATTTTAATTTTTTTCAGATTTGTTTTG